TCAATATTGTATTTTGCAAACTTTACAAATATAATCATCATGAATATAAAAAATTTCAATGACCAAACATCACACAAATAGTAAGTTCATAATAAAAATAGTTTATAAATACCTGATCGTACTGGTCCTGCGTGGCATCACATGTCACGCAGCTAGCCTAATGGTTAATAACCGTGACTAAATGGTTATAATCGTAACTGAACTCATCCTTATTCTGGAGCATAATATTAGATAATCTTTCTTAGTTATTAAAAATAGATAATCAATATCTAATAACTTTCAATTACTGTCATTATCGTAAATGAGATGTTTTTGACAAATAAAAATAAATTTTTTTATAATTGTCATCGAATTACAAGTCAGATGACTTTATGGATCACATGTTTTGGTTGGTCTTTTATGGTTTGGTGTGTTGTTCTCATTAGAACAGGTTTTTCTTGGTTTAGAATTGTTAAGTGATGAACAGATATGAATGTTAACAAATTAGAACTAAAGTAAAATATGACTTCAAGCGTGAATAGAAAATGTAATGCAGTATATGTAAGGGTGATGTTTTTAGTAAAAAAAACTTATCTTACTCTTTGCTATCGCTTGCCTTGCAGGAAGGCTACTCTATCGTCCCTCCCATACTGCCCACGGTACAATGACCTGCAATAATTGACAGTTGACTTGCGTGACAAGGTGTAATGTCAGGCAGTAGCAGTGTAAGGACCTGGTTTTGGTTTAGTTTTTTATTATTGTAACTATGAAGCTCCGCGGCTGCTGTAGTAGTACAAAAATTTCGTTTTTGTAATGATTAGGCCCCAATGCTGTAGTAGCAGTGCCCACAGTTACTGTAGTAGTGTAACACCCGGTTTTTGTAGCAATTAGGCTGCAGTAGTAGCAGTTCGAGAATTTTGGTAGTTAGACTTCGTGGCTGCGGTAGCGGTGTAAAGACCTTGTTTTAAGCTCCATGGCTATGTAGTAGTGCATGGACCTTCACTAAATGGGTTGCAGGCTCCGTGATTGAGGTAACAGTGCAATGTATTTAAAAAACTAGTTTACTTTTAGTCACCATAACTCAACCATGTATATACCTGAGTACTTACATGCGCTTTACTGATGCCGATCGTACTGGTCTTGCGCGGCACCACGTGCTGCGCAGCTACCTTATTATGTATTAGAAAATCGTGGCATTGTGTGATTTAATTTTTACGTAATACTGTAATAAGCAATACCTTGTCCATCTCTATTCAAGAAAGTTGCTCCTTGCAAAATACAGATAGTTAAGATAGTTAATATATTATTAAATTCTCTTTATTAAGAAAACTTAAGTCCTGACATAACACAATAATTTACCAAATTAGCGATTGGATTATACGGTACTTTTTTTCTCATGACGCTAATATTGGGAGGACCGCATAATCAGCTTATCTTAAGCATTACGTACATTGCTATTTATCAAACTCAAGTCATATTTGTAAAAGAAATTGGCTTGTTAGTTAAATTCATATCCATCTGTAGATTACTATAATTTATTTGTAAATATTTTTTAAAAAATATCATTCCATACCTATCTTATCGTAAATTGCATGGGTCTTATGTGACAACCCAGTACTTTTTTCATTTGGTTATCTTGCAAAGCCAGGGATAAAAAAAACGATGATTTGTTGTTAAATGGTTATAAATTAAAATGATAAACTCACGTAATAGTTTAACATTTTTGATCCCCTTAAATATTTTCCGCTAAGTAAAATTTATTCACCGACACTTTTTGACACATTGATTAAGACACTTGCGAACGCCCTAAGTGTCTGTTGTTTTTTTTAAAAAAGTTTGGGATAAATATTTTTTAACGAGAACCAATTTTCAAAATAGAATCTTTTTTTTTTTAGAAATTTATAGATTATGTAACCACATGCATTCTAAACCCCAGGTCTATATTAGCACTAATAACTCTAATTTTGTGCAGTTTACGTCATTACTGTTTTTACGTATTTTATTTTATGGCTTAAAATTTAATGACGGTCTCATGCTAAAAAAAAAGGATGTAAGAAAAAAATTTTAAATGAAAGATAGTTTCCCTTCATTGAGCTAATATCACATTTACTATTTTCTTTTATTTCCTCTTTTTGTAGAATTTATTACTGAGCTGACAAGACCAAATCGAAAGAATTTGCTAACCATTTCTAATCTTTTAAAATCATCAGATTGACGAAAAGGAAAAACCTGTAAATCATCTCACTCAATGAGTGAAATAATTACAGGTTTTCGTCACTCATTTAATATGATAGGCTAATCTTTCATGTGACATTATATAGAAATGTATGGCTGAGTTGCTTTTACAGTAATTATCATAAGAGTACAAAAAAAGCGAAACACATTGTTTTAAATACAAGTCTATATTTAATTAAAGTTAAATACAATTTAGATAGTGCATCGATAACTTAATCACCAATCTATAATTACAGTCAACCCTCTCTATAATCACGTAGTTGGGATGATAGTAACTTTTTTTTAGAAATGTGCTTATAAAGAGGTTGTGCTTATATTTTTACGATAATTTGTTTAACAAAATCAGGTGCTTATATAGAGGTGTGATTATTTAAAGTGTGACTATAGAGAGGTCTGACTGTATTATATTTTGGGTTCATATTAAAGTGATCAATCATCCAAATCCCAAACTCCGGCAAAAATTATATCTCAAAAACTTTATTAATAATTTTTATTTTAAACTATAATATATATTCTCATAGTATGTATGCGAAATATCAAGATTATTTTTTTTGGTTTAATTATTTATAAATGGTGTTGTGAATTTTCCTATTATACTTAAGTTGTGCGTGAGTTAAAACCTAACAACTGGGTTTGAAATCCCTAATGATTGTTTGAAACCCAAGTTCTAAATTCAAAACTCCAGATAAAAGTTTGATCGGATGTTAAAATATTTAAATATAACAAAAAATCTAATAAATAGACAGATTTTCCTACTCGTAACAAATAAGTAAACAGTCTACTTTTCAATGACATTCCTTTATCCGCAAACTAAAGTAATTTCCTTAGTAACTTACTATCATTAAATCCAATCCCCAATAAACGTTTCGTCTGCACAACTTATGCTACTTCCAAAGACAACTTGTCATGCATAAACCTTGCTATCCAATTGTTCTTTATTTTTTTTGGATCTGCATACCACAATTTATAAAAGTTAAAAATATTAAACCTATTAAATAGTATGAAAGAAAATCTTATATAAAAAAAATATTTTTAAAAACTATGGTTTAACTTATTTATCGTAAACCTTTCAAAAAAAATTAGCAGTAATCTTCAGTAATCTCAACAAGATCAATCAATTTACTTATAGGTATTTTTGTGCTGTCAGAAATTTCACTATCCAGTAGATCGCTAATTTTTGAAATCTTTTTAGTGACCTCTTCTACATCGATACGTTTACTTATGTACATATGCTTTGAATGTTTTTGAGATTCAGGATTTGGCTCCACCTTATCTGCTTCTAAGAATTGTTTTTTGGTTATGTTTTCGTTGCTTTCACATACAAGATCTTCAAACCAAGCGGTTACAATTGCATTTATATATCTAGCAGTAGGCCTTTCTTTCGGATTTGAATGCATGCATCGTTTAGCCAATTCGACATAGCACTCTGGTGTACCCAAAGCAATCTTAGGTCGTTCACCTTGAATTACCCGTAATGATAATGTAGCATCAAATAATTCACCGTCGAAAGCCCTCTGCCCAGTCGAGATTTCCGTCATGATAACTCCAAAACTGTAAATATCAGCAGACCGTGTAAATTCTTGACCTAATAAAACCTCAGGAGCAACATAAGGCAAAACACCAACGACAGTTTTGTCTTTACTTTTTTCAAATGTTGTGAGGCCCAAATCTGCAATATACGCATTATTAACATCGTCTTGCAAAACGTTTCCACTATGTAAATCTTTATGAATATATCCTTGAGAATGTATGGCTTCAAGATCAGAAGTTATACAACTTAACAGATTTAACTTTTCTTCCCATTTTATTGACGATACTTCGTAAAGATTATCACGTAAAGAACCCTTTTCTGCATATTTAAAAACAAGAACATAATTGTTCGAATCATCTCTTGATAATCCATAACATTTTAAAAATGATGGATTTTTATAACCAATCTCACAAAACGCTTTTAGCTTAATATATATATTAGTTATAAACTTTAATATTAAATTAATATTAAATTAATATTAAATTATTAGGATATTTAAAAAATTACCTCGTCAAAAAAATCTTGATTATGAATTCTTTTAATTGCAAATGGATATTTATCAGAAGTATTCTTGTAATGAATTTGACATTTAGCATAGTAAACAGTTGCAAATCCTCCTTTCCCGATCTCTCTAATATCTTCAAATTTAACATATGGAATCCATAACAATTGATACCTCTCGTCATCCAATATTTTTTTAACATTGTCATCAATATCAAAATATGAAAATTTTTTTATATCTATTTTATTATTATTAAAAAATTGATAAATATTTAAATCGACAAAAATAAATTAAAATGAAAAAAATACCTTGAAATTTATTTCTCTCCCTATAATTATATAATTATTAAATATATGCAAATATAATATATTTCTTATATATTTATATAAAAAAGACTTACATTCGAAACCAATAATCAGCCTCTTTTAGATCCTTTTTTGTTCCAATGCCATTTCGGTAACAATATCCAACATTTTTTATTCCATCAATATGATCCAAGTTTGCAGTTTTTAAATATAATTCGAAAGCATTTTTCAAATCTTTTTTAGTTCCAATTCCATTATGATAACAATATCCGAGGTTATATATTGATGTGATATTTCCCATTTTTGCAGCTTTTTGATAATAAAAAAATGCCATATTTTCATCCTTTTTAACACCTTCTCCTAATCGGTAATGTTCTCCAACATTATTTATTCCATTAGTGCTTCCCATCTCTGCAGATTTTTGATAATAAATGAATGCCTTATGTTCATCCTTTTCAACTCCAATTCCATGCTGATAACAAGATCCAACATTATTTGTTCCATTGGCATTCCCCATCTCTGCAGATTTTTGATAATAAATGAATGCCTTACGTTCATCCTTTTCAATTCCAATCCCATTTCGATAGCAATATCCAACTCCAAATGTCCCATTAGCATTCCCCATATCTGCAGATTTTTGATAATAAGTGAATGCCTTACGTTCGTCTTTTTCGACTCCAATTCCATATTGATAAATGTATCCAAGGTCATAAAGGTCTAAATTATTCGATTCCTTATGAGAAAGAGAATTATTATTAGCCATTTTACTTTTAAATATGAGTCAAGTTAAGTCGTTTAAATCATTAATTCCAAATGTATAACTATTTATAATTTCATCCTTATCGAGTGGTACAGCTTATTAAAGGTAACGTCGAACTTTCGACCCCAAACTTTAATTTGGTGTGTATCATTAGAATTCAGGATATGATTTATGTTACCCAAATTTCATTTTTTTATAGATTTCGGACCCTGAAATGTGCACTAACAACTCTGGTGGCAACCTTTAATGTTCTCATTTTTTAATTCTTCTAATCCAGTTTCAATTTTTTAAATTTATTTTACTTTCATTGGAATCATTTGATGCGTCAGAAAAATTAAAAGCCTTCATTGATGTACGTCAAGCAAAACAGAATTAACTTTAAATGAACTAATTCATAGGCTAATTTGTTTATTTAATAATGATATGTTTTATCGTTTTCATAGGCTAATTTGTCTATTTAATAATGATATGTTTTATCGTTAACATAGGTTTTATCATTCGTAATTCGTTAATTTGCAATCAGAAATTATTGATGAAAAGCCTCGTCATTCGTCGTTGGTGAATGCCTTGTAATCGTAAAACGGCGAGTCAGTCGCTAATCGGTCGGGTTCCTCGTGTAACCACTTATGATGGTTAATTCCGGTCGAAAGAGGTGTGTTAGATTTGACGAGTGGTTAACAAGATTTTGGATCGGGTTTACTTAATCGTAGGGAGGTTCAGGGTTGGTTATTCAAGATATGCGAACAAACTTTTTGTACCTTACGGGTTAGGGACAGATTTTTATTATAGCAATGGCAATTACTGTTTAATAAAGATACTCAGTTTACAAGCAATTTTACTGAGTGTTCAAGCAATGTATTATGATTTCGCTAAGGGGAAGTTATCACTCCCGAAGGGCCTTTCGGCCTTTATTTATAATTGTCTATTTCTATTTACATTCTACGATGCATACGACCGATGCTACCTAAAAGCCCATTCTGACCGATCGCTGCTATCCGTCATATCCGTCATATGCGACTGATGTGACTGATGCGACCTATCGGTCGCCTAATTGGGATATGGTCCCAAGCGGTCAGGGTCCATCAGGTTCCATCCAGGTCCCACAGCGTCAAATATGTTAACCAAAATATAATTGAACAAGTTTTTAATTTACTTAAAATTTACTGTTAGATAGATTTAGATTTTTAATAATGCTATTTTTATAGGTCAGTTACTGACATGAGTACAGGAAACAAAAGTAATGGCTTTTAATATTCGATCAAAGGTTTCACACGTTAAAAGTCATAACTTTCTATTTTAAAAATTAATAAGAAAAAAAATTGTATTTATTAATAAAGTTAACATTAGAAAGGTTTATTTATTTATTAATTTTGTTTTTTGCATTAATTAAATTGACATACATAATAATTCTGGATTCTAAATTTTTATTAAGTTTTGGGATCAAGTGATGACCTTTTTCTGAGTATGAGGTGTAACAAATAAGCACTGACTAATTTATTTATACAAATAAATTAGTTGGTTCTTATTTGTCAATAGATGATTAGTCACACCATGATCCTTTAAATTTCGTAGTGTTTCATTGAAAATTAACCTGGGCCATTTCTGAATCAGTGAAAATTTCAGAATGACCTAGGTTAATTTGGAATCGACCTAAATTGTATAAAATGACTCAGAACAGTAACACATCATTATATAATGACAATGATAATCAAATACTTTTTTAGTCATACATATATACATATATGCAATTTTTTAACAAAAATATTTCTTCTATCAATATTAAGTTCTGGATTTTCCAATATGGTTTCTATTATACCAATATTATTGGTAGTATACTGATATGTATTACATTTTTACTACAACATCTGAATCCATTACCAGGTCCTATATAAGGGCAGGTCTGGTCGGTCATGGGTGGATATCAGTCAGTCATTGACTCATAACCAACTGATCACAGTTAGGTCATATAACCAGTCAAATAATCAGTCTAATAACTGTTTATTTATTAACTAGGTTTGCAACAAAACTTTTCTATCTATTCAAGTTGTAATTAGATCTATGTGCATATTTACAGTTGTTCTTATAAATTCTGAGACAACTAATAAAATTTTGATCTGCCAAATTCGATAAGTTTTTGAATTTAGTGTTATTAAATTACTATAATGCTAAAAATCCAATTCTGATAATACTAAATTCAAAAACTTATCAAATTCAGCAGATCAAAATTTATTAGTTGTTTCAGAATTTATAAGAACAACTGTAATCAGAATTAGTATCAGTATGCCAGGAACTGTGTATTAAATATATAAGGTATGGTTTACTTAAGAGTAAAATGATGCATGTGATTTTTAGCATATAATTGGTTATTCTTTATCATAACCTTGTGTAGTACCCTGAATAATACTTTAAAAGGTAGGTATTAGGAATGAATGTCTCTGTATACAAAGTCTTGTAATTAATTAGTTTACATGACTTATTTATAATTCAGTAAAAAGAAAAATCAATAAAAGAGCACATACATTTGTAAAATCAAAAATTCAATAACAAACAATGGTAAAAATATTTTTTTGGCACAAAAATTAGTGATCCAATATAAATTTAAAATTTTTAATACTAAATATTTTGTAAAATAATAATTACTAATTATCAAAAACTTAATCAAAAGAATTTTTCAATTATTTCTAAATATGTAAATATATTTTATAAATTTGCAAAGACCCAGAATTTTTATTGGAACTAGTGATGTATCATTTATATGATATTCAGATTTTTATCAGAAATGAAGTACAAAGTATGTAGTATATTGTTTACAGGCAAATTAATATGCATGTGTGATTCTTATCAATTGATTGGTCTGCATAACTTTATTTATAACATATTATTATGTGTTGCCTATTTTTCATATGTCATTTTACACCTTATACTGATGGCTTGACTATTTCACCTATAAACATATATTGTCTACCATATGTATATAAGATGAATGAAAATAAACCCAGAACACTATTAAATCAGAAATATTGTAATAAATAATAATAAAAGGATGCTTTTTTAGCATAAATACTGATGGCCTAATGTAAATTATTATATATGTTTATTAAATTTTAAGAATTTTCTGTTTTTTATTTGTAGTATTTTTTTATTAGATTAATGAAATGATAATTACTAATTATCAAAGATTTGACATTTAGATTACAGTTAATGACTGTCAGATTTGAACTGGCACTTGTTGACTATAATTTTTATTGTATCCCTTGTTAAATTAAAATACTATATATGGAATATTATTTACTAATACTAATGCTAATTATAATTTGATCTATAAATATTTAAATTACATACTGATTATTTAAGAATATCAATTATTTTGTTTTAACCAAATATATATTTTTCTTTCATACTGAATTTCTAGTATAAAGCTAGTGTACACTATACTGAATTTTTAGTTGTAAAGCAAATATACACTATGCTAAATATGAATAATTCAAAAAACTCAGCCAAAATGATTAATAATAAATTGAATATATTCTACTAATTATTATGAACTTTTCTAATTACATTCTGGTAAAAATGTAAATTCTTAAATTGTATTAGAAATGGAGTATAAAATACAGAAGAGTATAGTTTACTTAAGAATAAAATTGGTTGTGCAGTTCTTAGCATATAATTGGGTTATTTTTTATTGTGACCTTGTGTAGTATTCTGAACAATACTTTAAAATATAGGCATCAGAAATAAATGTCTTGGTATACAAAGTCTTGGAGTTATTGGTCTATGTAACTTATTCATTGTTTAATATTTTTAAAAAACTTATAAATGAGCATATACATCTGTAAAATTAAAGATGTATAACAAACAATAATAAAAATAATTTTTTTAGACACAAAAATTAGTTACCAATTTAAATTTAAAGGTCTCAATGCTAAATATTTTGTAATTTTTATTTTTTTCATCAAATTTTTATCAGGCAAATAAAATGTTAATCACTGATTGTCAAAAACTTAATTGAAAGAATTTGCCAATTATCTCTAAATATGTGGAAAGTAGGATAGGTCTGGTTAGTTATTGGTCAGTTATTACTGATTATAGTTTTATAACTAACTGATTACAGTTATTGGACCAGTTATATAACTGGTTAATTGACAGGTCAAATGATTAGTCCAATAACTTTTTAGTTATTAGCTACTATGACACAAAATAAAGTTATATATATAATCTTCAAAATTATTAACTTATTCTTAAACAACTTTTATTGCATTTCTAAATCATGAGAATTACAGTTATCAGTATGCATCATTATTAAATTTATTAATACATATTATCTTAAAATAAATTATTTTATTTATAAATATTAGAGCATGTAAGCAAATAATGTAATTAGTTGTTATTATAATGAATTACAATTAATAATGTTATAATTTATTAATAATTACAACTAATTATAACATTATGCTCATCTTTACATATAATTAACATCAAAAAAAAATAATTTAGACTTATTATTTTTCAAATCACTTATTATTGCATAATATAATAGCTAACATTATGTAATAAATCAATTAACATTACTAAAATAGTATTGGTCAATATTTTAACCAGTTAGTTACAAACTTTTAACTGACTGATATCAGTTACAGTTATGACTAATTATTGATCAGTTATAACTATAACTGACCCACTTCTAGTAGAGAGTACTAAACTTACACTAAACTATGTTTCATAGATTTTAATGTTTTTTGCAAGGCTTTAGAATTTTGAGTTGAATTTATTGGAACTGAATGATGCTAGCTAACTAACTATATAGCAGTTAGTTATAGACAAAAGTTTGTCTAACTGGCTAATAAATTTAATTTAATTTTATACTATTTAAACTATTAGTAATTTTTTTAAAAACTAAAACCTAATTATAATGAAATAAAAAAATTTGTATAAAAGGTTTCATTAAAGCTGTAGAATTCTATAGCCAAAATAAGATCTAATCATCATCTGTATAAAAAAGTTAATATAGTAATAACTTCTCAAAATTCAATAGAATCAACTTATTAATAAGTTAATTTTTTTAATCAGATAAGAATTAGATCTTATTTTTGATTATAAAGTTTTATAGCTCTAATGAAACCTTCTATATAGTTTTATTTTTACTTACTTTATTATAGTTGGTTTTTGTTTTTTTAAGAAGTACTCTAAACTGTATAAATAATATAAAATCAACTTGAATTTATTAGCCAATCAGATGAACTTCTGTCTATAAAGTAGTCAGACATTGACTTTATCAATAGGTTTTTTTTAGGCTTAGTTACTAAAATTTAAACCAATATTCAGATTGCAAATACTATTAACTTCTTTTA